TATGTATGTTGTTGTTGTTGTTGTCAGGTGCCATCAAGTCGGAACCGACTCATAGTGACCCCATGCACAGCAGAATGAAACAATGTCCGATCCTGGGCCAACCTCACTACCGCTGCCACACTTGAGTCCATCAATGATGCCACCTGGCCAATCCATCTCGTTAGGGGTCTTCCTCTTTTTCTCCGACCCTCCATCTTACCCAGCATGACATCCTTCTCCAGTGACTGTTCCCTCCTGACAATATGTCCAAAGTATGAGAGACGAAGCTTAGCCATCCTGGCCTCTAAGGAGCACTCTGGCTGCACTTCTTCCAAAACAGATCTACTGGTTCTTTTGGCAGCCCATGGCACTTTCAGTATTCTCCTCCAACACCACAACTCAAAGGCATCAATTCTTCTACGGTCTTCCCTATTCACTGTCCAGCTTTCGCATCCATATGAGGCTATTGAAAACACCATGGCCTGGGTCAGGTGCACCTTAGTCCTCAAGCTGACATCTCTGCTCTTCAACACTTTAAAAAGTTCCTGTGCAGCAGATTTGCCCAATGCAATACGTCGTCTGATCTCTCGACTGCTGCTTCCACGAGTGTTGATAGTTGATCCAAGAAGAATGAAGTCCTTGACAACTTCAATCTTTTCTCCATTGATAAGAATGTTGTTTATTGGTCCAGTGGTGAGAATTTTTGTTTTCTTGACATTGAGATGTAATCCATATCGAAGGCTATGCTCTTTGATCTTCATAAGTAAATGTTTCAATATATATACTGAGCAAATAATCCGAGAAGCTGGATTATATGAAGAATATTGTAGCATCAGGGTTGGAGGAAGACTCATTAACAACCTGCAATATGCAGATGATACAACTTGCTTGCTGGAAGTGAAGAAGACTTAAAATACTTACTGATGAAGATCAAAGACTACATACAGCCTTCAGTATGGGTTGCACTTCAATGTAAAGAAAACAAAAATCCTCACCACTGCAGCAGTAAATAACATCATGGTAAATGGAGAAATGATTGAAGTTGTCAAAGATCTGATTTTACTTAGATCCACTATTAACACTCATGGAAGCAGCAGTCAAGAAATTAAATGACGTACTGCATTAGGCAAATCTTCACAAGGTCTCTTTAAAATCTTCAAGAGCAAAGATAATCAGTTTGAGGACTAAGGTGCTCCTTACCCAAGCCATGGTATTTTCAATCACTTCATATGCATGTGAAAGCTGAACAATGAATAAGGAAGACCGTAGAAGAATTGATGCATTAATTAGTGGTATGGTGTTGAAAAAGAGTATTAAAAGTATCGTGAGCTTCTAGAAGAGCAAACAGGTCTGTGTGGGAAGAAGTACAGCGAAAGTGCTCCTTAGAAGTAGGATGGCGGTACTCCATTTCTCATACGACAGCCATAGTGTCAGGGGGGACCAATCCCTGGAGAAGCATTTCTTGTTTGGTAAAGTGGAGGACCAGCAAAAAGAGGACCCCCAAGAGATGGATTGGCACAGTGGCAGCAGCGATGGGCTCAAATGTCACAATTGGGACAATGACATAGGACCCGGCAGTAGTTTGTTCCGTTGTGCATAAATAAGGAGCTCTGGTAGCGTAGTGGTTACGAGTTGGGCTGTGAACCTCAAGGTCAGCAGTTCGAAACTACCAGCGGTTCCGCAGTAGAAAGATGAGGCTTTCTGCTCCCGTAAAGATTTACAGCCTTGGAAACCCTGTGCAGGGTCGCTATGGGTCGGAACTGACTCCACAGCACCTAACAACAACAACAGCATAGGGTCACAGCTAACTCAAGGGCACCTAACAACAAAACAATTGCAAATGAAAACAAGTGCCATTGAGTGGTCCCCACTCATAGGGTTTCCAAGGAGTGCACCTGGTGGGTTTGAACAGCCAACCTTGTAGTGAGTGGTTCGGTGCTTATCTTATACCAGGCTTCCATCGTGTTGTTAAGTACTGTGGAGTCGGTTATGATTCATAGGGCTTCCGAGGAGTGGCTGGTGGGTTTGAACTCCTGACCTTGTGGTTAGCAGTCCAGTTCTTATCCTACCATGCCACACCAGGGCCCCATCTTACTCCACATTAAACCAGTTGATTGTGAGTCACTTCTGACTCATAGCAGCCTCGTGTGTGTCAGAAGAATGGAGTTTCATTGGGTTGCAATAGTTGACTTTTTAGAATCAGTGTTGGAGAAGAATATTAAAAGTACCATGGACTCCCAAAACAAAAATGTCAGCATGACTGACTATGAGAAGAAGCAAGCTGTTCACTGGGAAGCCATCAAGGCAAGCAATCAAGTTCCTTCAGGACAAACGCCCCTCTAAGACTGAAACTCAAAGGGAACACATGAATAGGCATGTAAGCTTGCTGGCTACCACATTGGTCTACTGGTGAGTGGAAGAGGGGGAAAGGCAGCAGTGAAGAAATGGGCTGAGTTCAACCACAGTCCATTGACTCTTGTTGACCTGGCAATGAGAGAGAGAAGAGGAAGGGCTGGTTGGTCCAAAGTGTGGTGAGACCTTGAGGACACTTGAGCCAATGGACAAGGACAGAGCCACAGAGGGTTAGAGCTGAGAGTGAAGCATCCAGCTGATATGAAGTGAGGAGAGATGCGCAAGAACACCCAAACTTACAGACAGTACCCATTTGACCTAGCCTCGATGGCTTAATAATCAGAACTCGACTAGAGGAAGATTACAGAGGGGAAAAAAATTTTTTTTTGATAAAGGAAATGAGGGTAAATTGCTACAATTTGATGAACCTGACCTATACTCATGGAGGTAGTAACTCTAAATACCAACAGAGAGAGGAGTCTTCACATCAAGTATCAATGTTATCCCCTCTGTACACAGGGTAGATACGAACGGGCAACTTAGACATTGGCTACCTAAAATGAGGGGGTGATAAAGGCACTAAGTGACTGGCTTACAAGGTTTCAAGAGGGAGTTTAGTTTAAGAGTACAGGGTGGAAGAAAGAGTTCCCACTGAATAGTTTTCATCTTGTCTGGTAAAAAGAGATGGGGATAAGATTCATATGATTCAATAGCAAATAATTGTTATCATGATTATTTGCACCTGTCACATTGTAAAGGTAGAAGGTTTGTAACAAAAACAGGGGAGTGGTTAATCTTACAGTCTAGAAACAGAGGAGCCTAGGACCATCAAAGGAGAAGAGCACAAGCAGAATGTGGGAGCTTATCCAGAGAAGCCGCGACGCTGGAGACGGAGGCAGAGATGGGGACATGGAGACGGGGAGCAACTGAGGACTCTAGATTTATGGGAAGAGAGGGACTAAGAGCTGATGGCCAGGAGGAAGACTTGCAGAATGTGCCCTTTGGTGGTATAAATTATTATATAGGCCTGGTTTTTTGTTTTAAAAAAAAGCTAAAGTGAATAGAGAGGAATACTGTTAACTGATGGTCCATGGAGGGGATTATAATCATTGTAATGAAACAAGGTGTATGATTTGTTCAATGTAAAAAACTGATGATCTGCCCTGTAAACTTATACTCAATTCACAATAAAAACCTTAAAAAAAAAAAAGAAAAAAGGACCATGGACTGTCAGAGGAACAAGCGGATCTGTGTTGGAAGAAATACAGCCGGAGAGCTCCTCGGAAGCCATCAAGTGTCCAGACTTCATCTCTCACACTTTGCACATGTTATCTGGAGGGTCCAATCCCTGAAGAAGGACATTCTGCTTGGCAAAGTGGAGGATCAG